CTTATATCTTCGTAAATTTTTAAGACACGAGAAATGTAGATCACTTTATTAAAAAGATTGTAAGACGTACAGCCTCGTTTTTACATTTTCTTTGCCATGTATTAAATATCAAAAATAAAAGACGACTTTTAAGTTGTCTCTCAATTCCCATGTTTGTTGGGACACCCTGTATCTAGATTCCCAAATCAACTATATTTAACCTATAAATGTTATGTTTCCCTTAGGGAGATATCAATTTGCTACTAATCTTCAAGTCTCACACCAATAAAAGAACAAAGTAGTTGAATATTTTACAAGATTGATGCAATTTTAAGCAGAAAAAAAAGAAATTCACAATTTACAGAAATTTTTTTCCCGTTTTCGTTTTCAACCGTTAATTTGTTTTTTAAAAAAGGACTAATCCCTTTTGTTAACAGTTTAAAAATTAACGGTTTTGCCGTTAGTTAATGGACTCTTCCGTCACTTTTCGAAAACCTCCATTTCGTTAACGATACTTTGCCCAGCCCTAGACTTTCAACTAGATATGGGAGAGAATTGTTTAATAAAATGATATTTCATATTCAAAAACACGATAACTGCTAAAATAGAGGTGGGGGGGGGGGGGGGGGAGTTGTCCAATCACCCCTAACCTATAATATAATGCTGTTTCTTACATTAAGTTTTTTCTTATGAAACAATCTTATCAGACAATTCAATAAAAAATATTATTTGCAGCTATAGGCCATGTGTGGGGAGGAGACTCTCCCTTTGCTCATTTAAAGGGAGGGGAGGTATCCTCCTTTCTAGAAATTGAAGGAAGGGATGTTTCAGGGAAAATAAAGGCAAATGATGACAAATACGTGGTCTTTGGTTGAAAAATATGTTTGCCTGCGCTGCACTTGTAAAATAAAAAATTCGACCCCCCCCCCGTGAGTCTGGTTTTGCATTAATATTTTTTAAAAATTGCAATAACCGTAAACCGCTACAATTTCATTACATAATGAGATAATTGTATATTAAGCAGTCAAGGGAAGAAACTGGAAACATTTTTTTTGGGGGGGGGGGGAGCAAAAATCAGCAGTTTCTGAGGTTTAAAAAAATTGTTACAACTTTTTTAAGGCATTTTCCAATGTCCATTTACTTTAAACTATCTATGTTTGATAAATTTAAACAGAAAAAAACATTCAAATATTTGTCAAGTTAAGAATTAAAATCGTGCAAAAAACATAGAACAAAAACACGGCAATTGAGGAGTAATATTTACCCACTGTTTTTAATATGCTGATTTTATCTTCTGAAAAAACTATTTATTTAATTTAAAAGAATCAAATAAACAACTTATGATTGCTTAAAAATATCGACTTTCTCTTTCACAGTAGTAAGTTTTATATGTTTAAGATACAAACTAGGGAACCCAGCATTGCCTGGATTTTTCACTGTAAAAGTCAACCCACTCAAATTATAATTCTAAACCAAGCTAAGAACATTCCGGTGCTCTTCTCGAGTTCCTCAATCAAAATTTTTGGCGAAGTTCATGAGTTATGATCGGACATTCAAACAAACAAACAAAGATTACTGCTATATATATATATATAGATAGATAGAAGATATTTCTAATGTTAAAAAGTAAAAAAAATGAAAACAAAACCCCACCTCCCCCAGCCAGCATTATCAGACTCATCTGTGCAGGGTTCCGAGATAGAGTTGAGTAAAGAGGTGTGGGTTAAAATATACAGTGGAAATTTCCGCTCAGGTATCTCCCACCAATACACAGGATTCTTTCAGATTAAAGGTTGGAAGATTTTTAGATCAATGATCCAAGTTTGGAAGATTTTTAGATATAGTTTGGGAGATCTTTAGATCAAAGTATAAGAGATCTTTAGGTCAAAGTATAAGAGATCTTTAGATCAAAGTATAAGAGATCTTTAGGTCAAAGTTTGAGAAAATCTAAGACCAAAGTTTGGTAAATTTTCAGACCAAAGTTTGGAAGATTTTTAGATAAAGTTTGGGAGATTTTTAGATTAATGTTTGGGAGATGTTTAGATAAAAGTTTGTGAGTTTTTTAGGTGCAAGAAAGCTTTCTTATTATTTCTACAGCAGGAACGTTTACATGCCAGATGATCTTTACATATGGGGTTAATATATGGGATTTATTCTGCAAGCGTTATGAAGAGAAAATGTAATTTATAGTAAGAATAATGCCTAAAGAAATCCGGGTCGCTTTGAAGTAACAAATCTCGCATCCCCTTGGCCTTTGGTTTTCTATTAAATAACACGTATACGTTCTTGTAGTCTTAGACTACAACACGTTTTTTATCTTAGTTTTAAAAGAGTAATTGGCAAATGCTGATATATTATTATTGAGAGCATGCCACATTTTAGATTACCATGTATACCCTATATGCCCTCCCCCTGTATACGCCCCTCTGTGCTCTTGTTGCAACTTAACTGAAGTTCCAATCCTTCTAATTCAATCTAGTTTTTATCTGTGTTAGTCTGAGCTATAATATTTGATCAAACGAGGTTTCATAAATTATTAATTAAACAATAATTTTGTGAAAATATAATTTTTAAATTTAATTATGATTAAAATTAAAAATGCTAGTTTACAATTTCTTAATTTTTAGATTTTAAAAAAAATGAAATGAAAACTAAATAAGAAACGGCATTGTTAACATTTGAAAAACTAAGTGCTAATTAAACACTTTACTTTTAACTATATCCAAAGCTAGTTTTAAATGAAAAAATGTCGATTAAATGCATTAAAAAAAAACTAGAAAATACAGTTACATTGATGTCTTTGTATTTCAGTATTGAAGTCATCTTGTGTAATATTTAAATATCTATCTATATATCTAGACCTCACGTTTTCAAGTTAACAAATTTGAAACGTGATTAAGATGGGTTTCAATGGAATTCTACTGCGCATAAAGTTTTGAGCGCCCGCTCAAACAGGCTTTGTGAATACATTAAAATGTCATGCCATGGTAACACAATGAGCGCCCTTATAAAACCCTTTTCCTTATATCGTAGATAGTTTTCCGTGCATAAATGTAGAATTATAAAAAGCTTTAAAAATACTATATTTTCTAAAGTATGTCATGGCGCTTTTTGATACAAGTATGTTAGGTAAGAATCTAAACTTATATAAGTAATTCATATATAAATATATATATATATTTTCATTTGGGATTATTTTATAAAGAAGTATTAAGTAAGAGAGAATAAGAAACCACTTTAAATAAATAAAAACTTTGATAAATTAACAAAGTAACTAAAGACTCGCCCCAAACCATATATTTTTGCAACCTTATGGTTCAAGTCCTTAATATTTTGAACTGTGTCATATATATGTGTATATATATTTTATATATACATATATATATTATAAACATATATAAAAAATATTTAAAAAGTTTTACAACGACATGTTCAAAGAGAAAAGAATTTGCGAGAGTATACGTGATAGATAAAAAAAATGCAGATGAAAAAAAATGTTCAGAAAATGTTTCGAGTAAATCTTAGTTGGTGGAAAAGGGTTAAATTATGTTTAAACACAATAGGTTTGTTATCAAATAATTCTTATCATATTCCAGTTACAAAATAATTATTATTGTATTGATAAGGATTTAGTCTAAGAAAACAGAAATAGCATAGATTGGAAAATATTACTCTGATTGTAAAGACACCATTGTGGAAGACGATGCCTGGCCGCGTTAAACTAGTTCCACAAGATTCAACAGAATGAGATAGAACGGATACAGGGCATAGTACTGATATCATCATCTACAGTCTACACGTGCGATATCGATATTGACTCTAGTTCTGAACCCTCTAGTAATAAGTTATAAGAAATATATATACTGGAAGTTATTTATGCGATGAGAGTTTAAATAGTACCTTTGTGAATTGAGAATGCACCTCTTTTTTAAGTTGGGAGTCACTTTCAATTACAACATTTAATTATGATTTGTACAAAAACGTTTTGGAGTCCGTTCTATTTTCAATTTGTTCTCAACGTATCTTTATCTCTAATACGCATTTCAGAAAAGAGGAGTGGGGGGGGGGAAGTGGGAGTTATGGTCATTATATATAAGGGATTAGGGTGATCAGGGTAATGGGGGGGGGGTGGGGTTGATGATAAGGGGAGGTAGTAAGGTTAAAACTAAAGGAGACTGACTGTTAATAATTGAATAATGCTTAGCAATTCGGAAAGGATGATGCTAAGAAGAAAAGAGGGGGTACGGGGTAGTACAGATCGAAAGAGGGCAAAAAAGTCATTTCATGTTACTGGGTACTGCACGGGCAGCCGTAGTACATTTGAATTTCCGAGTCGGGTCAAACTTTTCGGTCCCAGTTTGTACTGTATCGCCCGGATATTGGGAAAATAAAGCAGACACACAATAGGACTCGCCGGTGCAACAAGGTTGACACGGTTAGACTTTAGGTTGAATTTACTTTTACTAAAGGGTCAGAGGTACGTGACTGAGTATCACATTTGTCATTATTTTTAAGTGGAGATTCTGACATAAGGTCCTTCAAATTTTCAAATTTCACGTTTGGTGCAGTGTTCCTTTTTCTTTCCTCACCCTTCAACAGAGCTAGGAAGCATTAATTGTGAAAATATCTATATTTAGTAAAGTCATCAACATTCAACAATCTAGCAAAAAACTTAACTATCCGACAGAATTAAAATAGAAGCAGAGATTAGCAGAATTCTCAACCAATGATTAGATAAGAAGAATGTAAGGACTATTTCTAATACCAATAATTTTGAAAATATCAAAAATAAATGTTGGGGTGTTGTTTGGGGTCCCATGGGATCCTCCTCCTCCTAAGAATCCTAAAGTGGGAAAAATTGGAATACTGTAATACTATAAAAATAATATTGTACAAGTTTGTAACTATCTTTCATAAAACCTTTTTAAAATATAAAAAACAAATTGTGAAAAAAATTATTAACATATTTTACATAATGTTGTCTTATTTGTCACCTTTTTAAAAAAAAAAGTGTAACTTACATTATCTTTAGTCTTGAATCTAGGTCCATTGTTTTTTCTATTAGTCCAGAACATGGCTTTTCTGTGAGTCCCTCTGCAGGACCATTCATTAAATATTTTATACCCTTCTCACAATTGTTCAATCCATTTCCACTTATATCACTTACAGGGCCCTTGGACAATCTTTTCAGTCCATTTTGTCCGACTTCCCACTTGATATGTTCTCTTGAATTAGTTCCACCTCCTGTCGCCCCTGAAGCCTCCATATCTCTGAAGCTCTCCTTGCCCCTTGAATCCCCCGTGGCCCCTTTATCTCTTGCGGACCCCTCATCTCGTGTGGCCCCTGTAGTCCCAGAAACTAGATTTTTAAATGTCAATTTTGTCGAGTAACTCTCTCCGCCATGACAGTTTATCAGCTGAAAAAAATTATTTGATGGAATTATTCATGTTTAAAAGGTCTACACCTTTTTTAATCCAAGTTAACGAGAAATTGAAATATAAACTGCGCTCTGGATGTTTGTTTAGTAGGCAAAATTGGTCAGAGCGGCAATTATTGAAGGAGAAATGCAGGCNGGGACTTCTAACTCCTTCAATTATATTTTGTTCACAGTTATAATTGTGTATTTTTAATGGAAGGGGTAAAACATCCAATTTACAAGCCACCCTTGAACACAGTAAATATTTTCTTCTTTTTATGTACGAAAAAAGTCGGAAAAGTGAAAAGCATTGATATCTCATTCAGTCTTTAGATTTAATGTTGCAAATTCGGGCATGCCAATGCCATCTTTATTACTGGAGAACCACTTGTAATTAAACCCTTCACTTCCTTTACTACAAATAAACCTTCTTAAAACATAAACAATTCTTAAACTTTTCATCTAAGGAGCCAAAATAATGTTTAAAAACGAACAAACTGATTCCCAGCTTTTCATGCATTAGGTTTCACGTAACCTGCTTTTTTATCTGTTGCTAGGCAAGCATACATACTAGCTTTCTCTGTATCTTATCCCAGGAAACAGAGATTCACACTTTTAATCCCCCCCCCACCCCCGCCCCCAACTTTTGAGGTTGTAATTAAATTATTTTAAATTCGCCGGTATTTTTTTCCCCTCTTTCACAAAACAATAATTTTGTTTATACCAATTTCAGATTCAGAGAAAAATCAAATTTTGACAAAGTTTAAATATTTTCCCAAAAAAAATACAAAACATCCACTCAAAATTTTTGCGGAATTTTTGTTATATCACATTTAATCTATGATGAATTTTTCGTGAAATTTTAGAAAACAATAGAAGAAACATTTTCTCAACATTATTTCAAAGCTAATATTTTAGCATTTATTTTGTCTCATTTAATTTTTTTTTATTTCTAAAATACCCCAAAAAATAGATTTAGAATTTTTTTTTTCCAAAGCATCAATAATCCCAGTTTTTTTTTACTCACCCTGTATATATAAATTTGCAATGATACACATATTTGTTAAGATATTTAAGTTTTACACAAGTAATACAAACTGGGTGTTTCCAGATCATTATTATATTTAATTTTATATTATCAAATATATGAAAGATAAGATATTTTTTTTAAATTCTTTACCTGATTAGATTTTACATACTCGGCATTCAAGTCCTGCTTATCACGTGGAGCCTAAGAGAGAGATAATTCATGTTTTTTCAAATGGACAACTTATAAATATATTGCCGCGCTGATCAAAGACGATATAAAGTTATCACTGCAAGTTTCCGCAATTTTGAGGAAATGCTACGCAAAGAAGAAAATGATTAATTAGGTGTACAGTCCTGATTAGCCGTAAAAAGTATGTAATGTATTTGTAAAACTTGCTGTTCGTCCGGTATTTCAAATAGTTTTCATTTACTGGACTATATGCATATAAGCTAAGGAAATCTTATAATGTCTATATAAAAAAAGACATTCGTATATATATATATATATATATATATATATAAATCATTTTATATATTTTTGACTTATTTTTAATCTTTACAATAAATATATATATTCGTATATATATATATGTTGCGTATAGCCGGCCAAACGGCTGGACACTCATGGGTTGCTAGGGGGTGTTATTTTTTTTTCTACGGGCAAAGCCGGGCTTTTCAGCTAGTTAATTAATAAAATAAAGAAATTAATCTATTTTTACCTGGACTACCGGCGGTCCATTCCCTTGTTTAATTTCCATCAAACTTTGTAGATCTAGTTGGTTTTATTTCTCATTTTCAGGCGTTTTTAAGGAATCCTGAATTTATACATTTTATTATTTTAACATTAAAGGGACTGTAAGAGTATTCTTAAATGACCCTCCATGAAAAGATGGCAATGTCCAATCCATTTTGGCACCCATGAAAACTTAATTAATAATATATAATTTTTATAAACATTGATACAATGATGAGACAAAGCAAGGGCTTCCAGCGAGAAATAGAAATTTTCGCCAAAAATTTGCATTTTTCCACATTTCGTTTTGCAAAAAAGAATTACGGAAGAGAAATTATAATTTTTATGTAAGAAAACTTCTAATTCTGAGCTCTCAGAGCAGAGAATTCCACAAGTTTTTGCACAATTAATTGTTGCAGCAACAAAACTTATAATTTTCGTGAAAAAGTTGCGACAAACGAAAGGGTTAACTGGAAACCCTTCACAAAGCTTCTAAGGTTACCTGACTTAAGCACTGTCATATTTGCAAGGAGGTTCACTTGAAAATTGAAATGTCACGTAAACTGTGAGAGTAAGTAAACCAAAACATTTTGTTTGTCATTGTAAACATAACTTAAAGGCTCTTCGAACTTAAGACAATTTGGTTTGTATATTCTAATCAATAAACATTTTTTATGAGACAAAATATTTATAGATACAAGACGTACTGTGCTGCAAATAAGATTTCAAAATAATTTGATTCTAAATATTCCATTTTTTAATAATAATTTACCTTTGTTTATAAACAAGAATTTGAGTAAACAACGGCTGCTTTAGGGATCTTGTCTCTAGCAGGCATAGAGGTAACATTAGAGCTAAACCTTAATAATAGAGGTAACATTAGAGCTAAACCTTAATTATAGAGGTAACATTAGAGCTAAACCTTAATAATAGAGGTAACATTAGAGCTAAACCTTAATTATAGAGGTAACATTAGAGCTAAACCTTAATTATAGAGGTAACATTAGAGCTAAACCTTCATTATAGAGGTAACATTAGAGCTAAACCTTAATTATAGAGGTAACATTAGAGCTAAACCTTAATTATAGAGGTAACGTTAGAGCTAAACCTTAATTAAAGAGGTAACATTAGAGCTAAGCCTTAATAATAGAGGTAACATTAGAGCTAAACCTTAATTATAGAGGTAAAATTAGAGCTAAACCTTAATAATAAAGGTAACATTAGAGCTAAACCTTCATTATAGAGGTAACATAAGAGCTAAACCTTAATTATAGAGGTAACATTAGAGCTAAACCTTAATTATAGAGGTAACATTAGAAACATTAGAGCTAAACCTTAATTATAGAAGTAACATTAGAGCTAAAATTAAAGAGATAACATTAGAGCTAAACCTTGATTATAGAGGTAACATTAGAGCTAAACCTTAACTATAGAGGTAACATTAGAGCTAAACCTTACTTATAGAGGTAACATTAGAGCTAAACCTTCATTATAGAGGTACCATTAGATCTAAACCTTGATTATAGAGGTAACATTAGAGCTAAACCTTAATTATAGAGGTAACATTTGAGCTAAACCTTCATTATAGAGGTAACATAAGAGCTAAACCTTAATTATAGAGGTAACATTAGAGCTAAACCTTAATCATAGAGGTAACAATAGAGCTAAACCTTAATTATAGAGGAAATATTAGAGCTAAACCTTTATTATAGAGGTAACATTAGAGCTACATCTTAATTGTAGAGGTATCATTAGAGCTAAACCTTAATTATAGAGGTAACATTAGAGCTAAACCTTAATTATAACTAACCCCTTATTATAGAGGTAACATTAGAGCTAAACCTTAATTATAGAGGTAACATTAGAGCTAAACCTTAATTATAGAGGTAACATTAGAGCTAAACCTTAATTATAGAGGTAACATTAGAGCTATTAGAGCTAAACCTTAATTATAGAGGTAACATTAGAGCTAAACCATCATTATAGAGGTAACATTAGAGCTAAAACTTAATTATACAGGTAACATTAGAGCTAAACCTTAATTATAGAGGTAATATTAGAGCTACATCTTAATTGTAGAGGTAACATTAGAGCTAAACCTTCATTATAGAGATCACATTAGAGCTAAAGCTTAATTAAAGAGGTAACATTAGAGCTAAACCTTAATGATAGAGGTAACATTAGAGCTAAACCTTCAATACAGGTGGTAACATTAGAGCTAAACCTTAATTATAGAGGTAACATTAGAGCTAAACCTTCAATACAGGTGGTAACATTAGAGCTAAACCTTAATTATAGAGGTAACATTAGAGCTAAACCTTAATTATAGAGGCAACTTTAGAGCTAAACCTTACTTTAGAGGTAATATTAGAGCTAAACCTTAATTATAACTAACCCCTTATTATAGAGGTAACATTAGAGCTAAACCTTAATTATAGAGGTAACATTAGAGCTAAACCTTGATTATAGAGGTAACATTAGAGCTAAACCTTGATTATAGAGGTAACATTAGAGCTAAACCTTAATTATAGAGGTAACATTAGAGCTAAACCTTAATTATAGAGGCAACTTTAGAGCTAAACCTTACTTTAGAGGTAATATTAGAGCTACACCTTAATTATAGAGATAATATTATAACTAACCCCTTATTATAGAGGTAACATTAGAGCTACATCTTACTTATAGGAGTGACATTAGAGCTACATCTTAATTGAGAGGCAACAACGTTTATTTCAACACAAATTTATGTTAGTGTTTTTTCTTTTTATATGCTGTTCTATGGCTTCAAAGATTAATTGTGGAATCGTAATTTCGAGTCATTTTCCATGCAAATGTGGCAATGTCAGATTCATAATGGTACACAAGCTGAACGTAACTCGTAAAAAACTTTTTTTTTATTGCAGTAATCCGTATAGGAATTATCAGAATTAAGGACTTCATTTTAAAGGAAGAAAAACGATTACATCTCTGTCTCATAATGTTTAGGAAAAGGTTTCAATGGTACTGTTGTTTCGTGAAAATCACTTCTATAGGAATTTGTGATGGATAGCATTATTTTTAGGTTAAAGTTGCATCAACCTATATGTACTATGTAAAGTTGCATCAACCCTATATGTACTATGTAAAGTTGCATCAGCCCTATATGAACTATGTAAAGTTGCATCAACCCTATATGAACTATGTAAAGTTGCATCAACCCTTTATGTACTATGTAAAGTTGCATCAGCCCTATATGAACTAAGTAAAGTTGCATCAACCCTATATGAACTATGTAAAGTTGCATCAACCCTATATGCACTATGTATACTGCTAACCTATTCCAGACTATGTTTACAAATAATGAATCAGATTGTGATTAGACTATGATTTCTTTACTTGTTTTTTGAGTTTCCCAATATACACTCAACAGCTGTTCTGCATTTCAATCTTGGCACAAAAGATCACTTTAAATTAAGCTTAAAGTCCCTTAAAATCCCTTAAAGTCCACTAAAGTATATTAAAGTCCCTTAAAGTTTTATTAAATTCCTTTAATCTTTATAGAACAAGAATTTGTCAGTAATATTATCAAGTTGCAACACTCCCATTTCCCAAGTTGTAAACCTGTCTTTAATTGCAAACAAAAATCAAATAACTTTTTACCTCTTCAACTTTATGTAATTTGAAAGGGGCGTCAAAAAGGTTTTCAAAATGTTGGAAATTATAATGTTTTAGTAATTTACAACCTGTATGTACCACATTTATCTTTAGAATTAGTCCAAAAATCGTTCTCTAGGAATATACCGGAATAAAATAATTATTTAGCCAATTGCACCACTCAAATACTCCAACGCGTATCACTCAAAGATGTCCCAAAGTGTATCACTCAAAGATGTTCGAAAGTGTATCATTCAAAGATGTCCCAAAGTGAATCATTTAAAGATGTCCCAAAGTGAATCACTCAAAGATGTCCCATGTTGTTTCACTCAAAGATGTCCCAAAATGTTTCACTCAAAGATGTCCCAAAGTGTATCACTCAAAGATGTCCCAAATCGTATCACTCAAAGATGTCTTAAATTGTATCACTCAAAGATGTCCCAAATTGTATCACTCAAAGATGTTCCAAAGTGTATCATTTAAAGATGTCCCAAAGTGAATCACTCGAATATGTCCCATGTTGTTTCACTCAAAAGATGTACCAAAATATATCACTCAAAGATGTCCCAAATTGTATCACTCAAAGATGTCTTAAATTGTATGACTCAAAGATGTCCCAAAGTGAATCACTCAAAGATACCACAAAGTGGATCACTCAAAGATGTCCCAAATTGTATCACTCAAAGATGTCCCAAATTGGATCACTTTTCCTTAATGTATCACCACTCAAAGATGTCAAAAATTGGTTACTCAATGGTGTTCCAACAACGACTTTTACATTTTTCAAAATTGATTTAGTTTTTTCAACAATATATTTAAACTGAAAGTAATCTCAAAGTTACCATTTAGGTATATGCAGTGAAGACGACATTACTAAACTAAACAAGTTGGCTGTAGTTTGACTTCTAACAACAAATATTATTCTAATCTTGATCTTGTTATTGATAGAGTTGATACATTTTCAATATATCTAATATTGGTATTAGACTTATAGACAAGATTATAGGAATAATCAAACAACATAAAAATCATGAAATAGTTTTTTTAACTAAAAAAGTTGTTTATATACTTTTTTACAACTTCCTCCAAACCTGTCTTGACGTTATTCAGAAAGCTAATATCTCTTTTATCTTGAAAAGTGTTAAATTGGACCCTTTCATTTGCATATGAAATTACGCGAATAATAAACTACAAGAGAAAACGAACAATTTTTACAAAAAAATATCTCTACAACATTATTCATGAAAAAGGTTTAAAAAGTACCGTTGTGAATCGGAAACGGTACGCCGCGCCTGTAAAGGAAGCAGCATTTATTTTTTATTAATTGTTAAAGGGTAGAAATAACACTCCATGTTATATAAGAGTAGAGCAGAATTACATTAAGAACAGTCATTGTCATTGTAAGAAAGTCAAATAGCTATAGACATATTAAAATAATACAAGGACGTACTTCGCGTTTTTAGACTAATGAAAAGTTGAGAAGTCGGGATTTAGGGAAAATGACCCAATGTGTGTACTAGTACTTAGGTTTATTTTTAATATGTGATATGCGGAGAGCTGCAAATTAAAGTTTACAAAGTTTGTTGTCATAATTGTTGTTCTTGTTTTTTTACCTGAAGTTCCCGGTCTCGAGGTTATGTAACTTTATAGTCCGGAGGTTTAATGTAAACTAACTCTGGCAAGCTGCACCAGACACCTGGGGAGGGGGGGCTTTTTATGAACAGGGGGGGGGGAATTGTCAAGATTTGCAATGTATACAGACAGAAATGGGGTTGAACTGCAAAATTAAATAGATTTTCAATTTTATTGAAAACGGGAATAATATTTGTTAAGACTGAAAATGTGTCATTCAAATCATAGTTTGATTATGTTTGAGAAAGGGGCCCGTGGACTATATATATTTGAGAAGAAGGGGGAGGTGTGGGGGGGGGGGTAAGGAGAGAGGAGAGAGGGGAAGGGGTGTTTAGAATTATCGCAAGAACATTGTTGACACGTTTGATTAAGTACATGTTTCTTATGTTTCTTGTGATACAATTGATTTAAAGAAATCATTGTAATTTTAAATTAAATTCTCGTAAATTGACAAATATCGACGAAACCTTCTTTCAGCCCTCTTAAAACTATTGCAAAACAAACTCAATCAAGATCTAATGATATATATTCAATTGCTGGTTTGAATCATAAATCTATACTTAGCTTTAAAAACGCTTAGCGCAAATTTGTTGTATTAATAACCTTTTTGTAGCCTTTGTTTCTTGATTTATCATTTATGGATAACAACCAAAAAAGTATAAAATTTTCATATTTTAATTGTTTATTTGTTTTTGAAAAATATGTTTTAACTGAGTTGAAAACTTTAGAATGCCGAATATCGATATCAATGCTTGATCTTCTCTTTTTCTTAATCTCATTCTCCACATTAAATAATTGCTTGTTCTCCTCTTGTTATTGATCTCCAGATTAATTTATCAATCGGGATTAAGGATATTTCATTCTAAAGTTTTCAGCTCTGCCCGAATTAGTCGTTATTGTTGTAAAAGTAGGTTGAAGAACGAATGCCGCAAATAATTTTACAGATCTACGACGATCTTTAAGTCTGTCTTCTTTAAAGTTTCGTACAAAGGAGGAATGAGAAAAGGGGGCAGGAAGGGAGTAAAATCAATGTTGGCCGGCGTGGGGAGGGGAGGGGGTGTTTTCCAACGGTCAGATAACATATTCGAACAACTATTTCAAACATTTTTTTACCATTTTACCATCTTTAACATTACTGCCCTGTACTAGTTAGGTTTGGTTAGGTTAAGTTTGATTTGAACTCTTTCAAATTTTCATTTTTTATCAATCTCCTGGAAGTACAAACGTATGCATTTGTCATTTTTTTAACATCAAACACAGGTTATTTGAAATTCAGCGCTAGAAAAAGTAAAATGAGTATTCAAATTCAAATGCAAGATTTAAAGAAAATATTCGAGGACAAATTTCATATATCCAACACACATTCTTAATAAATAGGTCTTGATACAGATTTAGTATGGCATAAGCATAATAAGGCATTAAGGCAGTAGTCCTGATAACTCAGGCAGAAATTTGATAACCAGACCAATATTTTCTATAAAAAAAATTTTGAGTTTAAATGTTGCTCTTCAAGTCGCCATTTTTTCTTCGTAATTGTAAAATAAGTTTTTTCGATTTTTTCAGTTTTAATTGATACATTTTTTAAAATTAATGTTGACATTTTCGTTCCCAACATCGGGCCCGATCAGTTTAATTGTTTTGACGTTTAATGTATACTAACTGCAGACAAGACACCCAGACAAGCCAAAATTTGGGATCTATATATATACTTTAAATGTTCGGTGATGGTGATGGACCAAACCTCTGTAAAGTAAAAAAAAGTAGGTGTTAGTTCCCCATTTGTTGAAAATATATTGCGGTCTGGGTTGACCCTCTTCAGTTCTGACGATATGATAACCATTAAAATCGATTGTAAAAATTGTTTAAAAACCACAAGAAAATAAACAAATAAAAAAGATTATTTAAAAAAAAAATTGGACCGTTAAATGGCCGAAAGGGAAACGAACTTGTAACATGATATAAAAAAAGATAATTTGCAAATATTTACTTTTTTAAAAATGTTTTAAGACAATTATTATTCCTCGTTTGCTATACTGTCTATTTGTTTGTTTATTTGTAACAAATAAACTTCAAAACGGCTGAACCGATCGGGCCCAAATTTTGTGTGAGACCTTAAATGACCACAAGGAAAAATTTCAAAAGTTAGCCTCCAACAAAATTCGATTTCAAATATATTTTAAATTCTATAATTTTTTTTCAAAATCCGCAAAGTATTTTTTGTTATTGTTTTACAATATATAAAAAGAAAAAAGTTCACAAATGAAATGAAAGATGGGCGCATCGCGCCCTGAAGGCCTAGCTTCACAGAAAGAGAGAATTACCGAATTGTTTTAAGTAGCAAGGAAAGGTTTTTTTAAATTCCACATTTACATGTCGTCTTTGAACACTCATTATTGTTTAGTAAACCTGTATGATTACCTAGATTTTTAATAATATAAATTTATTGGGTATAAAAAATATTTTCTACATAATGGAAGAATTTTCGCTGATCTGTTTTCAAATAAAAAACCTAAAATTACTTTTAAACTACGACGACATTGCAAAACGCCTATTTTTCAAATACAGATTCTTATCAATAAGGGTTTCCAGCGAACAAACGTTACGCGAAAAAACTCAAAAAAAATGCAAAAATTTTTGGTCGCATTTCCTAAAACTTTTTTGCGAAATTCCGCATTTTTTCGCGAAAACAAATAAAGCGAAATTTCGCGAAAATGCAAAAATTTGTGAGAATCATTTGTTTTATAGCTTCTACAATTATTTCCTCAAAAGAACTTGTGGAATTCTCTGCTCTTATAATTCAATATTCGAAGATTTTTATATAAATTATTTTTCTTCCTTCACTTTAATAAATTTTCGCATTATTTTTATCGCGAAATTTTCGCATTATTTTTTCGCGAATTTTTCGCTTTTTTTGCGAGCAAACGAAATGTAAAAATATAGCAAAATGGTCGCGAAAAATGCGAAATTTTCGCGAAACGATTTTTCCTTTTCGCTGGAAACTTTAATATCAATTTATTCACAAAAAGTTCGTAAACAGCAACTTGCTGGTTGCAATCAATTCGAAACTAAAAATTTCAGAAAAAATAATACTCCTGAGATCAGAACTTTTGGCTGGATGAGTGGGGGAAGGCAGGCGGCCATGAGCCACAACATTTTCTACTTCCATGCCGCATATCAGCTTTTTTTACTTCTGGCAGTCATAAGCCACAACCTTGTGGTCTTGCATACCACAGCATTTGAGTCTTTCGGCAATTATTACGTTTTTAAATGATAAATTTAGTGCATTGAAATATTGAATCAAATTAATCCTTTGATAATTATTGAATTCGTACAAGAAAATTTAGTTAAAGTGGCTATTTTCCCTTAAATTCTGTTAGCATTAGCATTTAACATTAAAACATAAAATTAACAATTGAATACACATAAACATGGAAACAAAGAGAAATCGTCAGATTACACCCTTTCTTTGTTTACTTGTTTGAAAAAAATACTCGTAAGAAATCAAAACTTTCGATTATTATATTTTAAGTCCAAAATACTATTTTATATTTTTTACTATTTTATAATTTTCTAGTGTTTTCTTTCCTGATTTTTCATCTACAATTAAATGTTATGAAAAGATTATATTTCAAACAATTTTGAATGATTTAAATTATTATCCTACGTGTTATATTTGTCGATGACGGCATGATCAATAAATTATCTATAATATCGAATCATAATTCAAACTTAAAACATAATTGGACTTCAAAGAACCTTCATAAATAAAAATTTAGGACTTGTTATTCAATTCAACTCTACTGGTTAACGTGTTTGATTCAAAATTGCAATCCTACAAAACAACTTTTTTTCACTTTATTTTTTTTCAAAATAATGAAATGTGCAAATTGATTGTCTGCTTTTTTTTTAATGGACCGTTAACAGGAATACAAAAATAAGACAATTTTAACTAAAAGTGTGATTAAAAATATCGTGTTACATGAGCCATGCTCCGTGTATAAAGTCTAGTTGATGCCCCTGTGAGTTTCTGAGTTCTCCCTGCGGATCTGTACAGAACGTATTGTGAAAAAAACTAGTTTGGAAGCTGTTTACAGACGGACTACGCAGGCGCAAGATTTCTCGCGTGGAGTGACTAGTTTTATATCAGTATATGTTTATTTGTGTTGCAAGTATTAACCGTGTTCAGAATTCTAGGATCACTGTGGTAATTATTTCTTATATATATGTATGCTTATCGGTTGATTGTAGTATGATTGATATTTATATATGTTTGTTGGTTCCTCGCCACAGTTTTTTAATGCCTGAGTGGATTATTTGTTGTATTCGTATGATTTAGCACTCAAAGCTTTTTCTGTGGGTTTATTAAACTTATTTAGATTGAAGACTCAGAGAAATAAACGTTCGGAACCTTATTATCATCCTTTTGTTATGAAGAGCGTTGAGAGAAGGAAGTATTGCGATCCGGTCTTGAGAAATACCACACGGTATATATATTAGGTCTCTAGGGAAATCGCTAAGTAGCGAAACATATCGATTAATATAAAGCTAAATGAAAGACAACCAAGATTTTACCCACAAGTTCACAACTCTCTTCTTTCTTTGCATTGATTATGAAATTGAATGTTCAGAATTATCAAACAACTTTCAATTCCAAAATCTTTATTTTAAATTTAACAATAATTAATTTATCCCTCAATACAATGCAACACCCCTGGTGCCACTTTGTAACCTCGTAGCTTCCAAGTTCTGATTTTACGCTCAAACATGAAAAAAGAAAATTTATCCGATTAGATTAGAAATTAAAAATATTTTTGTTCTTCTCAATACCATTTGATAAGAGGAGATGTGATCTAAATCACATAAAATATTTCAATTTTACGTAAAAATCTACTTTATCTTCATAAAGTAAATTGTCTCTATATTTCACATTATCCTTTGGCAACTGCCACGCAAAAAATTAACCCTGAAATCTACATTATCTTAGATCAGGCAGTTCCCAAAATAAATAGCTTCCTTATTTTACATTAGCTGTAGTAAATTGCTTAAGATGAAAAAATTCGTTTCAAAAAATAATTGCTACATATTATTTTGCAATTCTCGACAAAAAGATTCACAAGGCAATTGCCAACAATCGAACCCCACCAAATGACAATAGTACGTGACAGCTCGACATCTTTACAAAAAATGTCCTATGGGCAATTACAATCCCTCATATCATGTATTATACACGTATAAAGTCGAGCATCTGCTTTAATCCGTTGTTTAGGTTTTAATGTAATGTTCAAAATCAAATTACAATCTGGGCATCAATTAATTATAATGATAATAACTCTGATTAATAGGATTTCTCAAACTTATTAAAGATGTATGATTTCTGTATGTAATGATACAAGAGAAGAAAACCTTCCTAAATACCGATATCTAAATCTCTGTATCCACTGTGAAACTTTTTCTTTCTTAATTCTCTCTTTTAAATATCCCTGCTGGATTCCGACCAATGAGAGTTCTCTGATTTATTGCGGACTAAATTTCTAAATTTCTCGGCTTCTGATTGGCTGTTTAGTTTCTACAATCAACACTCTAATTGGTTACATTTTACACTTTCCTGCAGCATATAACTGTAAGATTAAATAAATCTTAAGATTAATAAAAAGAGGAGATCAAGCATTGATCTTGATATCCACAATTCTTAAGTTTTCTGCTAATGTCTCTGTTTGTCCCATTTGACAATTGGAAAGGAACTGATTTTTTGCCACAAACTAATAACACTATATCTTTTCAACCTGATGGATTATTAAACAAACTTTATACTTCAAATATTAAAGGGCGAAAAGATATAGAAATTAGAAATTCAAAGTTTTTGCTGAGGCAGTTTCTTCCTCACTAAAGCTCTGCACGGTAAACCAGAGGTCCTGGTTAAAAGTCCAATGAGTCTGAACTTTAAAACCCATATCCACCAATTAAATGTAGATTTTTCGGATTTTGATTATAAGTTTTTTTTGGACTTTATAGTCTAAATTTGTAGGTAAATAGAAGCTCTTCAGGTATTTTTGACAGATTTTCAATGAGAGATCAGGATGCACTTTAATTTAGTTAGTTTTACGTGCCTGACAACAATTATAATGTAATTACAAAACAATTGCCATACTTATGAGATCTTCATTAACAAGCAAAATTGCCCACATCAAACATACGCTCTCCATCTACGTAGATATTTTTCTCTTACGTCCCACACCATTCATCTATCTATCTTAAACCATATAAAAGAGGAGAATTATTAACTCTCATTCAGTTTATTTCAAGCATCCTCCGCATAAAGTTTATTCTAATAAAAGAATAAAAAACAAACAAAAAAAACAAAAAAAACTTGAATCTAAACAGAATATGATTTGCACAGATACATACTCTAAGTTCTCTACGGTAATCTACTCTTCTCAAGAAACAGTTAAAGGTAATGAAAACTTTCAGTAAAAAAAAAATAATTTGAATTTGAATTTTTTCTGAACAAATTATGCAAACTTCCGTTATCGACTGTCGAAGCGCTTTGAGATAAAACATTAAATTGGGAATATAATCTTAATTTAGTTGTTTAAAATAAAGCAGAAGAAAGTTCCAATGCCGAATTAAAAAAAAATTGAGCAGAGGCTTAAATTTGAGACGCGGCTCTTAAAATTGTATTCAATGTTTCAAGATTTAAGCCGGCGCTCAATTGAAACCGGTTTTTGGCGGATTTGAAACGCAGCTCAAATTCATTAAATTCGGACTCTGGCCTTTTTTGTTGGCTTAGTTGTCTTAAATCAGCTCTTAAGATTAAGTCTTTTATGAACCTTTTAAAATGAATACAAAACATTAATGGAATTAATATTAAAGATGTCAACTGGGCAGATTCTAATGTCTCTAAAATGATGAGACTGGTCGACACTGATGAAAGCCTGAAAGAAATGGAAGGTAAACATTTTTTCGATTTTTAAAAAATGTATTGAACTGGACATTATCATGTATTATTAGTAAAATTATTTTTTTTTTTTTCATTTTTAATCTCTGTTCACACTTAATTACAATTAACTTTGAAGATAAAATACAGAGAAGTTAATTTAAATAAGTTTGAAACCTAAATCAACAAAATTAATTCATAACATGAACTATTTAGTTAAATTTTTGTGTAAAGTTCTTGTTTTAATATTTGATCATATTATTGTTAAGGTTTAATAAGAGAATGCATTGCGCTACTGAAGACTATCAAAGATCAGAATGTCAAGTTCCTGAAAGATGAGGTTTTTGAACCTCTAAACAAGGTAAATTTAAAACCCCAATTAAAGGGACTGTACGCATAATTTAAGTAAAATACCGTTTAAAGGCGAGAATCCCCGATTCACAATGGTACCCTGTAAACCTTTGATTGATCATCGATAACATAGAACTCACTGTATATATTGTTTAATTTCTGAGTAAAAAGTCGTAAAATTGGAGCATATGCTAACTTACTGTTTAAACTTAACGCGGATGGCGTCAAATTTATTCAATGCGGTTTTCAAAAATTCTAATGTGAATATTTATATTCTGTCGTGTCTAGAAAGTACACATTAATAGTCCTAGATAAAAAAACAGGTTGCAAACAATATTTTCAACAATTACAAACTATTCTGTAGATAAAAAAGAAAACGCCTGTCATCCTTGATCAGTCAAGGGTTTTTCAGAATATTTAAAAAAATCATTTATATTTTATTTGAAGTCAAGATAACGTGAACAAAAAAAGTGTTTTGAATAAATTAGCTGACATTGTCCTGTTTAGGTTGAAATAGGGTTGGATCTTATCAGACAACGTTTACTCACATTTGCTTACTTCAAGCTGTCAGCTCAGGTAAACATCAGGATCGAGGAAGGGACATGTTGCCGATAAAATTGATTTTTTTAAATTTAAAATTATACATGCATACACATTACACAACAATCTAAAATTAATTTGAAAATTCTTTTAAACGTCAAATTAGATATTGCTTATATAATGCTTCGATAATTCGCCCATCTTCGATTTTAACATTTAATTGTATCATTGATCCAATGTGGGGTCTCAAAAAAATGTTTACCAAATCGGTTTAGCTGTTTTGATGTGACAATTGCAGACAAACAGACAAGCAAAATATGTGCATATTTAGATAACATAACCTCCTCTAAACATATTTATATTTTTGTCCTATTTATCCTGCAGGATATTTTTTAGAGATTATCATATCAGTATTTTCCTCATTATATAATGTAAAATAGTATTTACATTGAGAACAAGAAAAAAACTCTGTTTGCATCGTACTTTTTGAAAATTTTAAAACTTTTTGTAGAAATTTCATATATTTTGCATATGTTTTAAATTAAAAAGTTTGTTTAAATTAACTTATTTATTTTTATTTTTAAGGAGTTTACAGAGTTAGAGGATGAAAGTATGAAACCTGCAGATCCAAGTGTTGAATTCTTTGGTTTAGAGTGGTCTAGCGTGTTCTCTAGATGCTATGGATTAGGGGTTGAAATTAGGTACACTTTACTACTATTATAATATTAAAATGGTAGGAATTATACACTTCTCTCAAACTTAAACTTTCTGGTCCTGATGGCAACTTGGTTTTGTAAACCTTGAAATATTTCAAAACATGAATTCTGCAAAATCTTATTAAATTTTAAATATCAAATGTTAAAAAGTGTTTGTGACAAGTATTCAGATCCCTCATCCGGTTAATTTCCAGTAACGGACCGACTTTAAAGCAGTTAGAGCAAGGTGTACAGTACGAACAGTACACATACAGACTTATAAGGCAAATCGGAACAGTACACCATATGAACCATCCCTTTCTACTGAAATTTATGTCTGTTAGTTCTCAGTAAACAAGATGTTTTTTTTTAATGAAATCTATTATAATTTAGGCTGCTAAAAGCTGGGATGAAAGAGGACAGATTCAGCCGTAGACATCTATCTGAGTGTCTATCTTTGGTAAATCAGCTGATCGCGGAAACTCAAATGCACGCTGCCGCACTCAACTCTGGATGCTTACGCGCCAGCCATCTTTCCCTCCAGCTAGAACAGCAGCAGTTGCACGCAAAAATTGGTTGGACAAACAGTTACCAAAAAAAAAATGACAACAGGAGCTCTGAAAACAAAACAAAAGTTGGCCGAGTTAGTTCTAATAAACTTAAATATGAAAAAACTAGTGTAAATAAAACCTATTCTAATGAGGCAAAGCAAGACCAGAAGTGTAATACTGATTCCAAACCGGTTTCTGACGAAGAAAAGCAAAAATATCATAAATCCTCACTGGTCAAGAGCGTTTCTAACATTTTTAGGTCTTTACTTGAATTATAATGTGTGCTTGAATTGTAAAAATATTAAATTATGTAAGGCTCAAGCTGTTGCTTATCATAAATAGTTTACCTACATTGTATAATAAACACATCTTCTGTAATTAATTAATTAGTTTTATGATCCTTGATTCCTTATTCCTTTCAAATATCACATGCCTTAGATTTGTGATCAATTATCAATTAAATACAGGTAAATTGATAGTAAATTAATATTTAGAGGAAAAATTTAGGGTTACCCAGAAAGGATGAGACTGCAAAGACGACCCCAAACTATAAAAATATGACAGTGTGAAGATTACTTTTTGGCTTATGCACTCAGTTGAGTATTTTGATTGTTTATCAAATCATTGAGCACAGAAATAAGCCAGTTTTGGCCTACAAAGAAAACCTTAAATGCAAGGAAATGGACTAAACAAATTCCGCACAATCGTCTCTGAAGTCTCATCCTTTGTGGGTAACCCTGTCTGTACTGTACCATCACCTCAAAAACTGCTAAATCAAAAGTGGAAAGTACAGAGTATTTTATAATATTTTACGTAAATTTCAGTATTTGCTAAAATAAAATAAATAGCCATGAATAGGGTGGAACAGTTTTAAAGAGCTCTGTAATAATTTAATTAAAATGTATGCAACAACATGCCATTATCAGAAAGTGAAGAATACGACATTTGATGAATTCTTTCAATGTATGGCTTATTTAGGGTTTAATTGTACTATTTTTGAATTTTGAAACACCAACCAGATGTTTGACCGTCCTTGCATCAAAGTAAAAATATTTTTTTGCAAACAAATAGAGTCTTTAATTGTCACGAACTCTGATTTTCTGAACCCTATATCTTTCGAGATCTAAAACTATGAATTTTGTTAGAACTAATAATCTAAGTTTGAAATATCAACAGTTTATACCATCAGCTTGCAAAAAAATTGAGATTTGACAATTTAGAGTTTGTGGCAAAGACTCAGTTTTTTTGTCTATCTGTATGAAGTTGTAAAAGTCAAGCAGTTTGAGTGCTCTAGTGTAAACCGTTTTAATTTATGCAGGGGGTGGGTGGGACATGGGGTTAAGTAGAAAACACACCCCCCTCCCCAAAATTGAGGGCAATTTACGATTAAAAAATTTATTTTCATTACATTTAGATATTTAAGTATGAAGACGACAGCTCTAGGTTTTCAATGATTAAGAGTAATTTTTATTTCGAAGGCTGTTCCAATGGACCAAAACCATAGATAAAGATAGATTGCGCATTAGACAACATTTTTCATCTTGAAAGATATAAAAATACAGAGATGTTTTAAAGATATTCCTATTATATAGGTTAACTAGGTCGGTTGTGAACATTGGCTGTTCTTATGTCATTGAGTACTTGTGGTGTACATGAGTTCTGTAGAGAGAAATTTAAGTTAGTTGAGTCCTTCTCATGTCCTTCTTCAGTTCTCGTCAATATGATATATTGCTCAGTGATATTCTCAAAATAAAATTCTCTCCTGAGTGGTTTAATAATTATGAAATCCATTTAAACACCAAACCACCCCGCTTATCATTGAAGTACACTTTGACCCCTAGAAGTATGAGTTCGCGGACTATACAATTCTTAATGATGTTGCGTACATAAGCTATCTATGTTCATTTATTTATCTATGACCAAAACCTGACATAATTTTTCATCCGAATTTAATGAACTTTAACGGTCTGCTGCCGGTTCAAATTTGAATCGTCTATTAAACTCTCCTTTTCATCTTTACTTTAAATCGTTGGTTCAAATTTGAACTGGCAGAAGGTGGTTCAGCGGCGTGGCTCAAATTCATTTAGTCCCATTTTATTAAATAATTGTAAAATACTTTTCTTGTGAGGAACTTTTCTTGATTATTCTTGATGATTTTTGAAAAAAAAAAAACATTATTTTTACTAATCACTGTTGTCATATTGATTTCATTTTGTGGTTTTGCTCCGTTAGGATCTCCCCCTGTGTCTTCCTCCCATATAATTTTCCAGTCAAACAAAAATACTTTTGTCAACTATTCAATATGATTTTCAAATCATGTTCTTCCTTTTTCTTTAACGAAATTATCTTTAACAGTAGATAATAGTAAAGATTAAAAATAATTGTAAAAACTTTGCATCAAAAAATTACAAAATTGCTAGATTATTCAAATTATCAATTTAAAAATAAAAATAAAATTGAAAACAACTTTAATAATCGTCTAATAACGTAGAATAAGCTAAATAATTTTAAGCTCAAATTTCTTTTTTAATCAGATTTTAGATTTTTAAAATTTTCGGACGTAGATACTAATTTTGATAAGAATTTTGATTTTATCGTATTTTCAGTTTGAACATCACACCAAATCTTAATAACCTCGAAAATATGAAAATTGGAAAAATTTAAGTCTAATATTTATTAAATTAAAAATTATTGTTGCCCAGCAGTCATAGTTACTCCCGCCGTTTACCTGCACTAGGTTGATTTTACCGGGAAACGAAATTTTCGCTATAAAAGTCGACCCACTCAACTTAGAATCTCAAAACCAAGCTAGGAACATTCCCGTGGTTCTCCCAAGTTCCCAAATCAAAATTTGAGCCAAATCGGTTATGATCGGACAAACAAACACATCAACTGAGATTACAACTATATACAAATAGATGATGATTTATTATCTCTTCACTGAGATACAGGGTGTCCCAATAAACATGGGAATTCAGTGACGAATTCGATATCGTCTTTTTAAATAATTCCTTGATTTAGTACAGTAATACCTACTGAGAAAGCTGTATAATCTGTAAGAGTTTCGTCTGCTATGTTCACATTTTGTTTGTTTATGTTTTGACTGCATAAGGATGTACTTAGTAAAACAAGAAAATGGCAGCATACAAACAGAGTAATCTTGTCCGTCTTCACTGTTCATCTTGCAGAGACATTATAGACACATCTTTACAATCCTTTACCCTTTTTATATCATAAACTCTAGCAGACATAATAATATTATGTCTTTTGGAATTAGGTATTACAATGCTAAATCATAACTAAGACGATATCGAATTCGTCACTGAATTCCCATGTTTTTTGAAAATTAATCATTAAACTATCAGACAGCCTCAACTTTAAAGTGTCGCAACGCTTTGGCCTTTCGTTTTATCTCACCAACTTGCTTCTACTTTTTTATAGTCCTAGGCATATACATTTTAACCCTATCCCCTATCCCCTATCTAATATAGATTAGGGGGGAGGCGGTGTTCCCCCCCCCCTATGATTTCACCCTTAGAATTGAGATAGAGGAGTGTTTTACATCATGCATGTCCCTTTTCAAACTTTTCAAGGTCTGCTTATTAAAATAAAAATAAGACTTCCATCTTTTAGGGTGCAAGGGAGGATTTTAGAAATGTTCAAAAAGTACGTCGGTAAAATGTTCAAAAATAATCATTTTTACTTTTGACAAATTTTAACATGTGACACATGCTATTACATCCATTTTTTAAGGGCTATAAATTTTGCAAAATTTGTTCACAACTATGAAGATGAAAAGTTAAGAAGTTTTGGCGTTCTAATGTAAGCCAATTTTAAGTTATTTAAAATAAAACACAGGGGCTTTAGTGTTTTTGATATCATATGGTGGTAATACCCTACAGATTAATTATACTTTCGAGCAATATGTTCATAATTACGAACAATTTGTTTATAGTTTAGAGCAATATGTTCATAATGTCGAGCAATATGTTCATAATTTCGAGCAATTTGTTCATAATTTTGAACAATATGATCATAACTTCAAGCAATATATTTCTAATTTCGAAATGCTATTCTTGTTTAATATAACAAAGAAAATTTGTAAAGGGACTGTATGCTCAATTTCAAACGACCCTTCATGCAAAGATGGCAATGTCCGAATTCACATCGGTAACCATAAAACCTTCATTTGATTATATTAATGTTGGATGTTTCAGTTGTGATGTAGTGGGTTCTCGACAAAAGTATCAGAATTAAACGCGCTTAATCAACCCTAGAAAACAACAATATCTTCCACATTATTGATCAGATAAAGGTTTTAAGGGTACATTCGTGAATTGGTCACTTTTACGCAAAGCTGCCTCTTTAGTAAAAGTAAATTCAAACTATATGAAGCATAAGTCTGACCGTGTCAACCTTGTTGCACCGGCTGGGTACAGTACAAACTGGGACCGGAAAGGTTGACCCGGCTCGGATATTCAAATGTACTACGACTGCCCGTGCTTCGCATACTTGAATTTCGGTTACATTACCTTTAAGATGAGGAAAAGAAAAGGACTGATAAATCCGTTTGTATATAATACCATTAAATCTCCTGTTACCTTATTATTATCTTATTATTTGGTCAATGTGTTGTTATATGATACAGCACAACCGACCCTATACAATAGTTATATAATAAATATATCTACATTAGTTATGCAACAAATATTTATAAGGGGGCTTGCATATTACACTTATGATATTTTTATATGAAATGATTTTGAAAAGAAAAGAGTAAACAGATTGAAAATAGATGAAATTAAACCTATATATCTTTTTACAACCCTTAAACCAATTTAAGTTTTTTAGCATTAAAATCAAAAATAAATCTATAATTTTTATTTCTAAAAGTTATTAGTTTATCAACGAAAATACTAACAAGCAACCACCAGTTATATAAAAAAAAATGTAAACAATAAATATGTTACTTTCCTTTTTCTTTCCTTGCCTTCTCCTTTTATGTATAAGAATAAAAACATTATTTTTACTAATCAC